CATCAAATATACTAAATTGATTTATTATATAAAAATACTGTGTACTTTGAAAAAATAGTTTATGATCATTGAAATAATAAAGTTGTTCAATGAATTATTCTTTCGACCATTTGTAAGAAACTAATATATAGTAAGACATAATATTAATGGTTTAGAGGTTATTAAACAAGTCAAATACATAAGGATTTAATGTCAAGAAATCTACATAGCGATAGGTATTATTATATTTACAAATTAGCTTTAATTTTATCTGATTTAAATAATTTTTCGCTAATATTTTTTCTCTGAATTTTACCGGTCGCAGTTTTTGGCATCACGTCAATAAAATAAAATTTTTTTGGTATTTTAAACTTTGCCACTTTATTTCCACAAAATATTTGTAAATCTTGTTCAGTTACTTTTTGTCCTTGTTTAAAAACAACTGCTGCATGAACTTCTTGACCGTATATATCATCAGGAACTGCAAAAGAAACAGCCTCTGAAACTGTAGGATGTGATAGCAGAATGGAATCAAGTTCCAAAGGTGATATTTTTTCCCCTCCACGATTAATCAATTCTTTGATTCGTCCTGTTAAATATAAGTATCCTTCCTCATCAAGCTTGCCTTGATCGCCTGTACGGAACCAACCATCTTTTGTAAACGAAGATTCATTTGCTGAAGCATTGTTAAGATATCCTAGTGTAATATTTGCACCTTTAACACACACTTCTCCTTCCTCTACATGTTCACCATTCTCGTTTAATATAGTGATTTGAACTCCTTGACAAGTACCCACTGAACCTGGTTTATGTTTTAGAGGAGGTAATGGGTTTGAGGTCATTTGATGTGCAGCTTCAGTCATAGCATAAGCTTCAAGTACTGGAGCATTAAAAGTTTTTTCTAATTCAAATAATACAGATGGTGCAAGTGATGATGAACATGAACGAATAAATCTAAGTTTTGAAGCACCTCCATTGGGTGGTGGATGACGCAAAAGAATTTGATGTATAGTAGGAACTGAATTTGTTAAGAAAATAAATGTTAGTACGAAATAATTATGTAAATTTATCTATATGCTATTTCTTACCAGCTGTGTACCAAGTACATTCATATTCTAAAAAATCATTCCAAAAAGTAGTCGCAGAAAATTTTGGTGGGATTACAACTGTTCCACCGGAAAATAATGTGGAAAGCATTCCACCGATTAATCCATGAACGTGAAAAAGTGGCATTACTAATAATGTACGATCATCAGGAGTCAATTTATATGTATTTCCGATATTCATCATGGTTGTAGTGATATTTTTATGAGTAAGCGGAACTCCTAACATGCAATAAAATTTAAAATCATACGATGCTACGTAATGTAATTCTATC